AGGGGAGGGAGGAGAATGCAGCACGAGAGAGAAGTGCAGACGGGTATATCGGGTGGGTAGACCCAAACGGGCGGGTCGGGAAGGCGGGCCCAAGTGGCTAGGTCGAGCAGGCGGGTTGCTGAAGCGTGCGTCCTGCGTGAATCGCGAGGGAGTCTCGAGCGACAGGGCGATTTCAAAATAAATCGTAAAGGAATCCGCAGCGAAAGCGTGATTCCTGAGTGTCGAGGGCGCGGCGTCTAAATAAATTGCCAGGCAGTCCTACGCCAGAGCGCGATGCCTGCATATCTTGTGAGGAAGGCCTGCGGGAGAGCGCGATTTGGGAATAACTTGAAGAATCAGGCGGGAGCTATTGTTGTAGCTGGAGGCCCAACAGGGGCGCAGTTTGGTGACTCCTCACTTGTAAAAAAACAGGGCGCGAGCCCCGTTTCAAACACGCTAATTGAAAAATGCACCGGTTACCAAAGGGGGGATCAACAATACTTATTTCTTATACATAAGAATTCAACAGCAAGACCACCACCAACAACAACACCACCACAGACAACCACAACAGCAGCAACGACAACAACACCAACAACAGCAACAACAGCAGCAACAATAGCACCACCACCAACAACAACACAGACAACAATAGTAACAACAACACCCAGAAAACTAACAACAACAGTATCAACATCAACATCAGCATCAACAACAACAACAACAAACAAGACAGCAACACTATCACCACCACCAACGCCACCAACAACAACACCACCAACACCAACACCAACAACACCAATTAGTATAATAGTGCTCGCTCTTATCTGCCCGCGTGCCATTCAACACGTATATCCCAAACCCTCGATACACGGCCTCTTCGTCTTCGATCGCGCCCCTCAGGGGTATATCTTTATGAGCTGCAACATGTATTTCGTGCAGCCCCCCAAGGCAGGGGAAGAGAGGACGGATAGAAGGAAGGGACAAGGGGGAAGGAGAGGAGGATGGAGCACGAGAGAGCAGGAGGGGGGGCTAGGAGCAGAAAGCACGTGGCAGAACCCGACGGGCAGATCGGGCGGGTAGACCCCGACGGGTGGGTCGAGGGGCGGTGGCGGGGGGCCCGAGAAATGCGACGTCCCTGATCCCAACCGACCTTCGGGATACCGCGCGGAAGCTGGCTCGGATGGCGCCTCGTGCGCACTGATGCCCTCCCCTCTTTCACTACCTCGGACGCGAGAGGCGTCGAAGGTATGAAGGAGCAGGAGGAGGAGGAGGAGGAAGAGGATCAATGTAAACCCAAGACTCGTCAACGATATTGCATGAAACCTTCTCTCCAAATAAATTCCCTCGCCCTGGGCCCCTACACAAATTCATTCCACTAAAGAAATGTCGCGTTGGAAGACAATAATTTGAAAATTCTGAACCGTGCCAGAGCAATGTTCCTTGGACTTCAACGCCACGAATCACCGCTACTGATGCTTCTTGGCGATCTTGAACCGTGCCAGAATGCCATTCCTGGGACTCCAACACCGCGAATCAATGTAAATGTTGCGCCCTAACAGTCTGACATCTTGCCGACATACAACTTATGAGACGTTAGCCATGAAAATCCGTGTAACTCTTACAAGCTTTGAAGACGAATGTGCGAGGCGCCTCAACGAGAACAACGTGTTGAAAACGACGCGCCCTCCATCCATGAAACTTTTGCAATTTGTTGACACGAATGTGCGCGGCGCTAAAGCGAGAACCACATTTTGAAAACGGCACGCCCTCCATCCGTGAAACTCTTGCAGACTTTTCAAAAGAATGTGCGCGGCGCTGCGGCGAGAACCAACCACAGTTTGAGAACGACCCGCGCTCCATCCGTGAAACTGTTGCCAACGTTTACGACAAATGTGCGCGGCGCCAAGGCGAGAACCACATTTTGAAAAGGAGTCGCCCTCCACCCGTCACACTGCTGCAAACTTTCAAAACGAATGTGCGCGGCGCTAAGGAGAGAACCATACAAAAAAACGGTCCGCCCTTCACCCGTGAAGCTCTTGCAAAACTTCAGCTTAAAAATCATAACTGGCGAGGAAGTCTCAAGCGAAACGCCACGCTGGTCCCAATGCTGCGCCTCGGGGTGCGAGAGGGAGGCGCATTCATTTTGGAAAACGGATGTAGGAGGAGGAGGAGGAGGAGGAGGAGGAGGAGGAGGGGGAGAAGGAGGAGGAGGAGGAAAAGGAGGAGGAGGAGGAGGAGGACGAGGAAGAGGGAGAAGGAGGAGGAAAACGAATGTAAGAGGAGGGGGAGGAAGAGAAGCAGGAGGAGGAGGAGGAAGAGGAGGAGGAGGAGGAGGAGGAGGAGGCTCGAGGACGAGGAGGAACAGCAACAGCAAGGGGAGCCGAAAGCAGGAGCAGCATGGCGAGACGGCGCCGGCCAGCTGGGCCGCGGGCGAAGAGAACCAGGCCCTGTGGGACCCTGCGGAACCCCAGCTGGCGGTGTTGATCTCCCACAGCACCCCGGCGGGGTCCGCCTCCTCCTGGCGGCTAAGGGGCGGGGAGGGAGTTCCTCCTCGTCCTGCTCGGCCTCCTCATTCCTCCTCATTCCTCACTCCTCATCATCATTCCTTCTCCTCCTCCTCCTCCTCTTCCTCCTCCTCCTCCTCCTCCTCCTCCTCTTCTGCTTCTTCTTCTTCTTCTCCGTATTATTTTTATTATTCGTCTTATTATTATTAGAATTATTATTACTATTAGCATTATTATCGTCATTATTCTTAGCATTATCATTGTTATTAGTAGTATTATTAATAGTATTAGTATTCGCATTCTTATTCTTAATATTATTAGTATTAGAATTGTTGTGATTATTATTATTAGTAGTAGTATTTCTATTCCTCCTCCGACTCCTCCTCCTACTCCTCCTACCCCTACTCCTCCTCCTCCTCCTCCTCTTCCTCCTCCGCCTCTTCCTTTTCCTCCTCCTCCTCCTCTTCCTCCTCCTCCTCCTCCTGCTCCTGCTCCTGCTCCTGTTCCTCCTCCTCGTCCTTTTCCGCCGCTTTTCCTCCTTCGGCAGGTCCGCGAAGGCGCTTACCCGACTTGCTTGGCTGATGCTTTGGGAGGGGCCTATGCTCAGGGGAGGCTGCAGCACTGCTCAACGGTGTGCTGTTTAACCGAACCTTCAGGGTGGGCCCTTTTCCATCTGATGGGGGTCACCCCGATCTTCTCCATAAGTCATTCTCCGTTGGCCATTCTGGAGCTCTGCGCCGTCTTGGTCCTGTCTGCCTGTCTGTCTGTCTGTCTGTCTGTTTGTCGTCGTCTGTCGGTGTGCCCTGGCATTACACACCCGCCAGGGTCCGAGCTTCGCTTCGGCTTAGCTCCTGGACGCGTCGGCCACCGCCGCCCTTTCCCTCGTCAGTGGCCCTGACGGGGTTGGGGGAGGATGCCGAAACGCGCCCAGAGCCAACTAAGGCATGCGGGTGCACACCCGACTTGTCAGGCTGATGCTCTGGGAGGGGCCTGTACGCAGGGGGGGCTGCAGCACCGCTCAACCATGTGATGTTTAATCGAACCTGCAAGGATCACCCCGATCTTCTCCATGGGCCATTATCCGTTGGCCTCTCTGGAGCTCCGCGCGCGCCTCCTCCTCCTCCTCCTCCTCCTCCTCCTCCTCCTCCTCCTCCTCCTCCTCCTCCTCCGCATCATCATCATCATCATCATCATCATCATCATCATCATCGTCATCGTCATCGTCATCATCATCAGCATCAACATCATCACCACCATCATGATCATCGCCATCATCATCACCACCACCACTACCATCATCACCATCATCACCATCATCATCATCATCATCATCCTCATCCTCATCCTCATCCTCTCCCTCATCCCCCTCGTCCTTCTTCCCCGCCTTTCTCCATTCGGCGGGCCCACGAAGGCGCATACGGTTCGGTCCTGGGTCTGCGAAAGCTGGTCCAAGTCTTCTGTTTGACGGCTTCCCCAGCTCCTGATCCACTGCATGCTCCTCCGCATCTCTGATCGAGGCAACTCGCCGGGACATCGTCTGTGGATGGCTCGGTGGGGATACTTTTTTATCTGCGGCCCGCAAGGAAGAGTCCAGAGGGCGTGTCAATCAGGCTAACTGGGGCACAGAGCCAGATAATTCGTGCAACATGCAAAACAAATTAGGGAACACGGGCAGAACGGGAAGGGGCGACAGAAAACGGAAAGAGGAAAAAGGGGGGGCCTCACTCACGGAGCACCGCGTGCTCGAAGGCAAAACTCCACTGACTCAGGCGACGGTAAACATGGCGCGAATCCCACGTGACTGTCACCCACCGGGAAGGGGGAAACGTCGTGTGGAACCACTTCACAATCACCAGCGTCCGAGGCACGTCAGGGGGGAATTGCGGGCAGGTGGACCACCTGCGCACCGCGGATGGAGTGCCGCCCGGGCAGACCCACGCACCATTGTGGGACCTATACGCAGTGCTGTGAGAGGTACACCACGGTGGGGATACGCGGAACGTCAAATATTTTCACAATCCGTTACAGCAGAGGACGAAACGCACACGCGCGCGCGCAGTCGCGCGCGATTGCCCAATGTCGTCAAAAACCATAAAGTCCGTAAGGATGTCAAAACCAAGCGCACCGGAAACATATAAAATACATCGTTTCGCACCACAAAATTTCAAAATAGTTTGCGTTCGGATTCCTGCGAATTCTTCAAGCAATCAGTATTTATCAACCTATTCATAGCTTGCTGCCAAGCGGGCCTTTCGCTCGCGCATGTCGGAATCGCTCTGGCGCCCGTGCGCGCGCGCTGTCGCAAAAACCCTCTTTTGCAAAACGTGGGACGAAACGCGCGCGCACGTCGTCGCGCGCGCATGCCGTAATCTCTCAAAAGCCTTAAGGGAGGCACGACCCGTCTCAAATAATACCATGCGGGCCATTTTCGCGCGTCGGCCGCGCGCGCATGACGAACTCCTTCCAAAACCTTCATCGCCGACGCGAAGCGCCGTCATCGTCGTCGGCGTGATCAGCATCGGCGCCGCCACTGGCCTTGCCGTCGTCATTGTCATCATCGTCACCAACACCACTACCATCATCATCGCGTCTACCGCTGTCGACGTTGCCATGATACCGCGCCCGCCCAAGTCGCCGATTCGCACTGAAGTGCCCGCTGGGAAGTGCCCAGCGGCCAGCGCCACCGAGGCCGCGTCGGCAGCGCCAAACTATCTGGCCGCTTCGCGCGCGAACATGCGCGGGCTAGCGCGGCACTTATCGCAATCGCAGCCGCATGGGCGTTGTAAACCAGGTTGCGGGTGGGTGGGCGGATGATTGCGCGAGCAGTGGCATGGACAACTCGCTGCGAACAGAAATGAATTGTACACCATAGGTTCTCCTTTCTAAAAGGAGAATAGACTCTACCCCCCCCCCCCCGGACTTATCCGTTCCCCTTTCGGGCATGCAAATCATATATGATTCTGACCACAGGTTCATCCTAAATATGAAATCATATCATCCCAGGCAAGCTGGGTTCCCCCCCCTGAGGTTCCCTGGTAAGAAAAAACACTACGCGGTGACATTTTCTGTTCTAGCATAATACTTGTTTCACGAATCCCTTGCAAATTACCCTGGCGACGTACCCAACCCATGCACAAACGCGGGGCGCAAATAGTTTAGGAAACTTCATAAAAGGGGCGATGACGGAGCGAGGGTCACACACGTCTGCAGACGGAATTCGGGAGACTCGCAGGACACTGGCTACAGGACAAGGACTTAATAAAGCTGATAAGTTGCAGTCCCTGGGAACCCCTAGCCACTTCGAAAGCGGGGGTCTCATACCGCAGCCCCTGAGAGATGGCGAGGTCTAACTTGAGTCAGCGGCGAGGTCCCAGAAACAATAACGGTTCGAGGATGATGTGATCGAGGGCCTGAGAGCAACTCACGAGGCATGAGGGGCGTCTCGTGGAGAGCAAGCTGTTTCTTCCCGCTTCGCCCCCTACAAATGAGTTGCAACGTGCATTCATCTTTTACGTGGCACAACTCTTTACCCAGCGGGTCCCAAACAATTTGATCCAGCATAAACGCATACACATGTGATTGAACTACTACTCGCCATGCTCCCTAAGAGCCCCCGCTGACGTGGCAGCAGCAAAATGACGTGGAGAGCGCGAGTGTGGCGACAAAGGAAGGTCGGAGGAAAGAGAGGGACGATGTTTTGAGGCATGCCAATTGTCACCACAGTCATTGCAAGATGCAAGAGCTGCACAGAACGGAATTTAATAGCTAGCAGGCCTCGAACGTGGCGACAGTTTCACAGATCGCAGCCCCCCAGGGATGGCGAGGTCTAATTTGAATCTGCGCGTCGCCCTCACTGTGCTGGGCCCCCCAGCAGGCCTCGAAAGTGGCGGCAGTTTCGCAGATCGCAGCCCCCCAGGGATGGCGAGGTCTAATTTGGGTCCGCCCGTCGCCCTCACTGTGCAGGGCCCCCCAGCAAGCCTCGAACGTGGCAACAGTTTCACAAACCGCAGCCCCCCAAGGATGGCGAGGTCTAATTTGGGTCCGCCCGTCGCCCTCACTTTGCTGGGCCCCCCAGCAGGCATCGAAAGTGGCGACAGTTTCACATATCCCAACCCACCCAGAGATGGCGAGGTCTAATTTGAATCCGCGCGTGGCCCTCACTGTGCTGGGCTCCCCAGCAGGCCTCGAAAACGGCGGCAGTTTCACAGATCGCAGGCCCCCAGGGATGGCGAGGTCTAATTTGAAGCCCTCACTGTGCTGGGCCCCCCAGCAGAAATCAGTTTCACAGATCGCCCCCAGGGATGGCGAGGTCTAATTTGAATCCGCGCGTCGCCCTCACTGTGCTGGGCCCCCCAGCAGGCCTCGAAAGTGGCGACAGTTTCACAGATCGCAGCCCCCCAGGGATGGCTAGGTCTAATTTGAATCTGCGCGTGGCCGTCACTGTGCTGGGCCCCCCAGCAGGCCTCGAAAATGGCGACAGTTTCACAGATCGCAGCCCCCCAGGGATGGCGAGGTCTAATTTGAATCTGCGCGTCGCCCTCACTGTGCTGGGCCCCCCAGCAGGCCTCGAAATGGCGACAGTTTCACAGATCGCAGCCCCCCAGGGATGGCGAGGTCTAATTTGAATCCGCGCGTGGCCCTCACTGTGCTGGGCCCCCCAGCAGGCCTCGAAAGTGGCGACAGTTTCACAGATCGCAGCCCCCCAGGGATGGCGAGGTCTAATTTGAATCTGCGCGTGGCCCTCACTGTGCTGGGCCCCCCAGCAGGCCTCGAAATGGCGACAGTTTCACAGATCGCAGCCCCCCAGGGATGGCGAGGTCTAATTTGAATCTGCGCGTCGCCCTCACTGTGCTGGGCCCCCCAGCAGGCCTCGAAAGTGGCGACAGTTTCACAGATCGCAGCCCCCCCCCCCAGGGATGGCGAGGTCTAATTTGAATCTGCGCGTCGCCCTCACTGTGCTGAGCCCCCCAGCAGGCCTCGAAAGTGGCGGCAGTTTCACAGATCGCAGCCCCCC